ACGAAGATTAGACTACAGTCTGCAGTAAGGATTACACCTCAACATAAAGAAAACAAAAATTCTCACTACTGGGCCAACAAGCAGCATCATGATAAATGGAGAAAAGACTGAAGTTGTCACAGATTTTATTTTACTTGGGTCCACAATCAACACTCATGGAAGCAGCAGTCAAGAAATCAGATGTCATACTGCACTGGGCAAATCTGCTGCAAAAGACTTCTTTAAACTGCTGAAGAGCAAAGATGTCACTTTGAAGACCCAAACCCAAACCAAACTCACTGCCATCAAGTCAATTCCAACTCATAGAGGCCCCCATTGGGTTTCTGAGGTTGTAAATCTTAAGTATATTGCCCCATCTTCCTTCTGTGGAGCATCTGGTAGGTTTGAACTGCTCATCTTCTGGTTGGCAGCCAAATGCCTTAGGCACTACACCAACAGAGCTCCTTCTCTGGAGACTAAGGTGCACCTAACCCAAGCCATGGTATTTTCAATTGCCACATATGTATGTGAAAGCTTGACAATAATTAAGGAAGATCAAAGAAGAGTGTATGTTTTTGACCTGTGATGTTGGCAAAGAATACTGAAAGTATGATGGACTGCCAAAAGAACAAATAAATCTATCCTAGAAAAAATGCAGCCAGAATGCTTCTTGGAAGCCAGAATGGCCAGACTTCATCTCACCTACTTTGGTCATACTGTCAAAAGGGACCATTCCCTAGAAAAGGATATCATGTTTGGTAAAGTAGAGGGTCAGCGGAAAAGGGGAAGACCCGCAACAAAATGGACTGACACAATGGCTGTAACAATGGTCTCAAGTATAGTAGGGATTGTGAGGATAGCACATAACCAGGCAGTGTTTTGTTCTATTGTACATAAGTTTGCTAAGAACTGGAGTCACTTGATTACACCTAACAACATGAGTGCAGAGAACTGCTCTAAAAGGTTTTTCATGGCTGTGACCCTTTGGAAACAGATTGCCAGGCCTGTCTTCTGAGGCTCCTCTGAATGGGTTCAAACCACCAACCTTTCAGTTATTAGTTGAGCACTTGACCATTTACAACACCCAAGGACTTCCAAAACTTGCCTCTAGCTAGCTATACAAGCAATAAAAGACTTTAATTTCCTGAGTTTGGGACTTTGCTCTTGTTTTTAATCTATAGTTCTAAGGGGAACTATATGACTTTTAGGAGCTCTGGTAGCGTAGTGCCTAAAGGCACTTGACTGCTAACCAGAAGGCTGGAGGTTCAAACCCATCAGCCACTCCTCGGAAGGAAGACTGGGCATGCCTACTTCCGTAGTGATACTGCCTCGGAAACCCAAGGAGGGGTCGCTATGAGTCGGGGCTGACTCGATGGCAAATAACAACAACAACAACAAAAGAGCTATTTGCAGAATCGCTTCAGCCTGTAACACCTCAGCAAACTTCTTCACCATCCAGGTGGCTAGAAATGAGTCTCAGAACCTCTCCTTATTTACTCTTCAGATTTCTCTTTATCCATTAGTCATTAACACTTCTTTATTAAACCTTACCTTTTCAAATTATTTTGTGGTTTCTGTGTGCAGACTAGATGATAACTGATCAAACTTTCTTGAAATAAATTTTTGTATTCTAATAGAATTTGGGAGCTCTGGTAGCATAGTGCCTAAGGCACTTGACTGCTAACCAGAAGGCTGGCAGTTCAAACCTACCAGCCACTCTTCGGAAAGAAGGATGTGCAATCTACTTCCGTAGTGATACCGCCTCAGAAACCCAAGGACAGGTCACTATGAGTCGGATCCGACTTGACGGCACACCACCACAACAACAACAATAGAATTTTAATAGTGGAATTCAGTATATTTTAAAAGAATAATCTCAAAAACAATTAGGAAAAGATAAATCAGCCGTATATACTTAGCTCTATCCTAAAACTACCATTTAAGGAACATTAAATACACATAATGTACTATGTAAATGCTTTACAAACACCAATATTAAGTTCTAAAAACTCTGTAACTATTTCCTTATTTTACAGAAGATGATACTAACACTTAAAATTTAAGAATACTGACCTATCACAACCTAAGTGTCCATCAACTGAGGAATGAATAACCAAACTATGGTACATACACACAATGAACACCATGCAACACTAAATAATAATGAATAATCCACAAAACACCTCATAACATGGATGAACTAGAAAGACATTATGCTGAGTAAAATAAGCCAATCTCAGAAGGGCAAATATTGTATTAGTCCACTATTGTAAGAAGTCAAGGAAAGATATACACATTGAATGATACTTTCTTCGTTGGTCACCAGGGATGTGAGGGGCGGGGAGAGAAAACTGCCAGACCAGTAAGAAACTTGATTTGGGTGAAGGGAAAGGCAATATCCCAAAAGCGAGTGACCAACACAATAACACAAAGGAAAAGGAGGACAGAGGTACACAAAGATAAACACTTTTACATACATAACACTGCCTTATCAGTAAAAGCAAACATTAATCTACAGGAGGATACATAGGTACACAGGCTAATCAGGTATGTATAGGCACAAGGGAATTTATCCACGACCATATGTAAGTGTGGCACATATTATTTCTAAATATGTATTTTTATGCGCTATAAGAATGCCCATACACATAATAAAGCCAAAGGGCCAAAATTATGATAACTTGTTAGCCACAGCCAAACACCCTCACAGAATTAATCACTGGGCCCACTGGCTTGGGGAGGGGTGGGGGTTAGGGGGGCAGATACTGACCTACCTCAACCCTAAAAATAGAAAGCAGCAGAGCTGACATCTGAACCAAGGGCTACCTGATTTCTAAATCCATACTGCTAAGCACTAGAGTACAACTTTTCTATTGGAATACCTTAAGTATTCACATTTTTTGGAACAACCAAGCAAAAACAAATAAACATGAATTACTATTCAAATATGCAGTGTTTTGGTTATCTAGTGCTATGATAACAGACATACCACAAATGTATGACTTTAACAAACAGGGATTTATTTCTCTTACAGTTTAGAAGGCTAAAAGTCTGAGTTCAAAGTGCCAGCTCTAAGGACTGGGTGAAGGCTCCTCAACCTTGGAGCTCTGCCTCTTGCTCCTGGCCCACTGAAGCTGGAGGCTTCTCTTAACTCAGGCAGCTGCTGGCTGCTGAGGCTGACAAACCCCAGGCCAGCAAGTAAAATGGCACAATCCCAAGAATATCAAGCAACACAGCAGGCCACTAGTTCAAGTCCAGAAATAGTCCCAAGATTAGCAGACAACATGGTAGGCTGTTGAATGAAGACTTGGTTAAAGGCAGGATCCAAAAATGTGCCAAAAAGCTAAGAGATGTTTCTCAAAGCTATCTTCTTATACACTAGAAGCAGACCACATCCACAAGGCAGACACTCAGCTGCTCCAGTAGAGTCCACCATGGAGTTGATTACCAACCAGTCTCATCATGGGCCATAACGACATCCAGCTGCCCAATCACTCAAAACTAGGCCCAGCCAAATTGGCATACAACCTTAACTACTACAAAATGCTGAACAACTCTGGTACAAATATTCATCTTTTGAAAGGTACAACAGAAATTTTATATTGCACTCAAAATCAACTGTAAGAAGTACTTATTGGTATCAGACAATAAATGTGTTCTAATTTAAGTCATTCCATAAAAAGGCTCCCAAAAACTTTAAAAAGAAACAAGGAAATGTCCAAGATAAAATTCCAAATTTAAGAACAAATACTAATTCATTAAAAATACATGATACTATACATAAGCAACTACTCTGTAGCATTTTATTCTTCCAAGTCAAATTACAGTTAATCTTTATAGACTATTCACAAAAGAATTTCCAAAAGGTATTGGTTTGAACATGTTGCAAAAATGACTGTTTTCTTGACACTCATTATCTTATGGTGAAAATACTGCTGTTTTAATTTTTACATAAAAGGAAATAAGACATTTTCCATAAATGGTAACCTATTCATAGTTGTTTAATTATATAGCTTAGAGTAGCCGTATACTTGGATAAGCAAATTGTTTCATAATATTAAAACTTATGTTCTCATGTATTAATATTTGAAAACTAAATATCACTAGGTGAGGAGAGCCACCTAAATTATAACACCAAGCCAATTTTGTTTTGAGTCACAAGTTCTAACTTATTACAAAGTAAAACTGTCATTAAGCCAGAACGTGGATATTATTTTTCACTGAATAAGGGTATCCACTGAATTAGACCTTCAAATGTAATAACAGTATAAATTCAATAGATTGATTATGAGAATGACAAGCAATGAGTTAAAGCCTTACTAATAATTATTCAGCATCTGAACAGGAGCTAAAATCTCACTAGAATTATGATGAAATGATGAGGTTAATATAAAGCCCCATTAAAAGTGTTTACAGGCAATAAAACAACACATCAGTCAAAAATAAATCTGTTGGATTCACGGCAAGATGGTGGACTAGGCAGAAAGACTGCACAGACCCTCTTCAACAAAGAAAAGGGAAACCAATTAACACAGACACAGAAGATAATCCTGGACCCCTGAGCCTTGAAGGGAAGGATATAGAAGTGGACTAAACCCCAACTAGCAGAAGAATTTGCGTGAAAATACCAAAAAAGAAGACAGATGGAGCTGCGTTCTGGCAGCGATCCTAATGGCACAGACGGCTTGGAAATTCCCAAGTGATGGCAGGACCTAAGAATTAAACTAAATATCAGCCCTGCTAGCCAGGGACTGTGCAGAGGACTATGCAGGGTGGCTGGGGAATAAACGGAGAAGGGGAAGAGAAAGGCGGGCTGAGCTGTGGATTTTTGCCAATCCAGAGGGGGCTGCCATTTTGAAGCTTTAAAAGTGGCTGGACTATTTTGGATATTTAAAGAGACAGTGCTCTAGCAGATTCCTAGGACTTAAGAACATGTTCTGCTTTCCAGCCACCCCAAGGACACTTTGGACCCACAAGACTGAAAGGTACGACATTCCTCTTGTTACTCTTACACCCCACACCTGCATGGTGAATGGAGGTGAAGCCATCCCCTACCCACACCTACCTTCTAGGCCCAGAGGAAC